TACTCATTTTTAAGCTGATGTTTGTTTTTACAAAAATCCACAGTCCTTTTGTCTTTGGTTTAAATAGATTATGTAGAAGGCCCTTTTTTTTTTAATCAAATACGTTTTATTGAATTGAATTTAACAATCTTCAGAATGTGAAAGACAAAAGAAGCTTCCATTTCAGAAAAAATGACATTTTGTGATTTTTTTTTTTTTTTTTTTTACTTCTTTTTTTAACTAAAATAGACCCTAGTTGTGTGAGAATCTTGCTTGCTGAGAACAGCATGGTAAAGAAAAAAAACTGCAATTACAATTCTGCCAAACCTCACTGAAGGCAGAAAAAAAGTGGAATGTGGTTTCTATGATCACCACAAAGCACCCATTTTATTTTAAGATTTTTTTTTTGCAGATCTTTGGGAGAAATATTATTAATTTTGGAGGGCTATGTCTCCTAAATACAACTAAAGGCCTTCAATGTTTTATTATTGTTTTTATTTATTATTAAGTCCTCCATTTACATTTCAGTTTGGATTGTTTTAGTCCAAAGTTAGATTTGAAAGTAACACAGTCCACCTGTTACTGCTATTTGTGGCAGATGCTGAAAGCTGGTTCATTATACCTGTTGGGGTTAATGCTTAGTAAGTTGTTGTACTCCGGCTTTAAAATCCCATTCTAAAGTCCGAATTTTTGCTCACATCTTTGCAAAATGTGGGACTGGAACCTCCCACAACCATCTGTTTACGGTGGAAGTTGAAGAAAATTATGCCAGAGAGAGACATTTGGGATGTGTTAGATGCATCATAGTCATTTTTTATTATTTTTTTTCTGTCCAGTACCATAATACTACAGATTTTTTTCTTAAAAAATGAAAAAGATTCATTACACATCAAAATAGAATCCTGTATAGACACCATTTCATGTTTTAGGCACTTTGACAAGCTGTAATAGATAAAGTCTGCCAACACATTCAGGCATAAGTGGTAATATTCCACCAATCTAATGCATAATAATGTCAGAAATCTGCCAGTTCCCTGTCGAGTACTTTTTAATGAGTACATTTTGCCACTGACGCCCTCTGTCATTTCACTTATGATTTTGAATGCAAGGCTTCTTGTAATGAAGTATTTTCCCACATTGGATTGTTCCTTGTCCTTCATAAAAAGAGGGGCCTGCATACTTGTTCTACTACTGAATTGACAGTGATAATATCCTGCTTTACAAAGGTGTAGGCTAAATGTCAAAAAGCCAACTGCAATGTTTTATCCTGTCAACTCAAACCTGTGTCAACATCAAACTCACTCACCTCAGGTGTCTCCGCTCGTTCTCCTTCCCCTCCATCCCCTTTTCAGTTGTTTACCTAGCCGCCGTCTCGACATGCGCATTCCTCCCCTGTCAAACGTGATCAGGATTAGCGGCTAGTGGAACTTAAGTGTCAGCTCCGGCAGGAAATGGGAGCCAAAGCTGGAGAGCAGCACGTCTCCTTCACTGGCTGTCACATTTCATCAGATGTTTGTAGACGCATTGCACCCTTAACTGGATGAATCTTTATTAGGTGGCCTGATGGAGGTTGGAGATCTGCTGTAGTGGTTTTAGGTATATAATACTCCCACTGGGCAAGAAAATCCAACTAATGGTTTCTGTCATAATAAGAAATTTGATCAGGATCTGTACAAACACGCCTCATACTTACTGAGCCATAGGAAAGATGCCAGCTTTAGTGAAATGCTTTTTGAGTTTTGGAACAGATGAGCTGTTGTGACTCTCATATCAGTTTCTATGTACATCAGAGTATTTTTTTCAGAAGTGTATTAGATATCTTTGCAGTTGTCTGTCATTCCTGCCTGGTGTTTTCAATCCACAGGAAGCCTTGCTTTATGAGAGATAAGTGATCCTATATTTTATTTCCCACTGCTTCCTTTATGTCTGTGAGGTTGATCATTAGAAAGACAAACTTTTTATTAAAGTGAGTGAAAAAAAAATACATCACCATCTGTTCATCAGGTTTTTTTTTTCTCTCTCAGATCAAGTGTGACCAGTACTGGCCGAGTCGTGGTACAGAAACCTATGGTATGACCCAAGTCACCCTGCTGGACACAATAGAACTGGCCACTTTCTGTGTCCGTACATTCTCCCTGCACAAGGTAAGCTATCTCTTTTTAAAAGCAATGCTGATGCCATTTTGCACAAGTCCCAGATTGGACAAATGCTCACCCTGCATGTTGTATCTTTGCTTAATTTAAAACGCACTAGTTGGAATGCTTAATGGCATTTTTACTCAATTTCACTCTCAGTTGTGAAGATCCTTTCAGAGTTGTAGGTTTCTTTTGGTATTATATAAAGTTAATATCTCTGAGGAATTTCCCCACAGCTGTTGGTACAATACCAGGCTGGTATTGTACCACACTGTTTTAGTAAAATGCAATATCAGTCACACATTCATTTAATTTGGTGATTCAGTTCTAAAAGAGAAAACTCATTTTGGGCAATAAAACATACTGGGTCCAGACCATTAAATTTCAGGCCTCCCCTAATCATCTCTTTACAATCTGGGTTTTCCCAGGCTGAGGGTTGTTTGTTTCTATGTTTTGTATACATTTTTAAATACTAGTAACAGTGAGACAACAGGTGACATGGTTGAAGGTGCAACGGGGACACCTCATGGTCAATACCAGAACACATGGGGAGTCATGGGTCTTTTTGTTGTATAACCTGCCTCTACAGCCTCTACATCTTCCCACTGACTTTTCAAATAACTCAACGTGTCACAAAAAAAGGGTTTACCTGATGACCATCCAGAGTACACTGTGACTGAGCCGAGCTCGCTACCATTAGCTGAGCTGGGGATAGATGCACTGTTCTCTATTTATTCACTGGATTGCTGAATGCCCATTAGTAGTAAGGGATTGAAGTGCCGCCATATTGGTACTCCCTAGTTAGATGGGTCGCAAAGTAAACAATATGTGTGCTATCATCGAACAACCATGATGTTCTCATTTTCAGGGAGACTTAGGAATTTTAGGATAAAGATAAATTCAACATTTTGACACACACTTGCTGTTTCATAGCATAAGTAGATTACTTTAAGTTATAATAAAAAAATAGGCACATCACTTTCCTTTTTTTGAATTGAATTCCTTAAAAAAAGTAACATTTAGTTAAACTTATTACAATTTTGCTGTGAGTTTATATTTGCGTAGCTGATATTTATTTTCTCTCTGAAAACACTAGAAAATATGAGGAAATTCAAAGTCTGAACATGGGAGACTAATCCCTGGTCTTACTGGGAATATAAACAAACAGACAACCTCAATAAGGCCTGTAAACCCATGGCTTTTTTTTACTTTCATTTCCAATATTCACTGAGAAAACCCCCCTTTGTCTACAGTGTCTTCCCAATCCACCCCTTTTACCTTGTTTAGCTCTGTCTCTCCTCAATAGATCATCTGTTTATGTGCATCTGCCAAATTGGAGCACTTAGGTAAAGTGAGCAGGAGAGAAACTCAATATACATAATTGGCAGACAGCTCTCATGCTTCTCGGTGTGCACACAAAGCCCCTCTCATACACTGGCGCAGAAACGCAAACACTCCCAACACACATGAATGCATGAAGTCCACCGCACACTTGCTTTCACTCAGTATGGAGCCCATACACAGCTGAAATCTGATGCCCTACGCAGACATAGGCGCTCACACAACAATGTTCACTTTAACACGCACAAAAACAAAGAAACATTAAAAAGATTTATTATTACAGGCTGGTTTCAGCTGAAAGTATAAAGGCCAAAGTTGTTGCAAACAGATTAGAACATTTTTGAGTTTTCCCTTAAAACCACATCGCAGAAAACTGACCTTTTCGGCTATATCACAAGGGAAACAATGAATGACAGGGGACTGTAGAGATAGCAAAACATCAGTAGCCTTAGAGTTCAAGCAGCCGGCTTAAAATCCATTTAAATTCTGCCTCTGTGAGCTGCTATCAAACCCACCGGTACACTCCTTTTCCTATCTGTCCTCTTCTTCCCTGCAATATTGAGCCGTTGCTGTGATATCTCCCTCAACAGCTTCCACTTTTGTGGATTTGCTTTTTTTTTTTTGTAATATACTGTATTTATAAAGCAGCCGAGGCAGACAACCATGCACACACACAGCTAGCTACTGGATATCTGAATATGTGTCCCAGTGTAACGCAGAATTGTGTCCTCTGACAAATCCTCTGTAAGCTAAATTTGATTTTAAAGAAAAACCAGGAAACAAGAAACAAGTCATGGTATTGCTGCTAACCTCAACTGCAGTTTTTTGAAAAGGGAAGGTGGGGAACTGGGTCAGTTTGCTTTTAATTACCACACTCATTTATTCATTTATTCAGCAAGTAAAAATTTCCCTCTGTCAGGAAAACCAGAAACGCTGCAGTGAAAAGCAAACAGCTCCTCTATTAATGGATCTTATGTGAGTAAAGAGAGAGGAGATCTAAAGCATATTTAATGTTTTTGCACTTTTTGTCAAGCTTGTCGGAAAAAAAAAGAAAGTAATTTTATGTTTGTTTTAAGAGTTGATTTTAGAATGAAAATTTACTGATAAGTGTATTAAATAAATAAATAGAAAGCAAAGGTTGCCTGCATGTTTGCTTATAGTGAGGAGAGATGTCTTGAAAATAATTTATCAAATTTAAACTTTATGAATTACCCAAACAGAACCAAAATTTATTGTTCACACAAACCAAGCTACTCAATTGAGACTATTTTTCAGGTTTCTTTCAAATAACAGTAAGAAAGTTGGGTTCTAGTTATTGTTTCTTAATTCGCAGTTGATGTTGGCATATTTAAGAGATACTGCACAGGAAAATCTACACAGGACAAAATATGCACGGATTGTAAAAAAATAATAATTTCCTTTTTCTGTAGTCTTTTTATATATATATATATATATATATATATATATATATATATATATATATATATATATAGGGTGTGTGCGTAGTGGGGTGAAGGGGCTTTTCCTCTCAGCTGCCGGTGTGTGCATGCTCAGTGCGAGGGATTGCTGCAGGTTCAATGACACAATATAAACAAATATCTTTTTTTTTATACAATAAATATATATATATATATATATATATGTATAAACAAATATCTACTGTCACCGGATACTCACCTGGGAGGGGTCGATAGCGCAAAGTCAACGACTCGGTGCAATCAGCTGGGTTTCCTTAGATAGAAACCAATCTGACTGTATTGTCTGATAGAATTGACTCTCTAAAGTGCAATGAGATGACATGCTGTGAGCTAAATAAATAAACTGAACTGCATTAAAGGGTCGGACATTTTGTCAGAGCAGAGTAGCTTCATTTTTCATTGACATTCTATTTCATATTTATCATCTGAACATCTGTAAAAGTTTAGTGTTAGGACTTAAGGGTATATCATATTAGAGACTACCAAAATCAAAAACTACAAATCAGTTTCTCATTTAAAAGCTTTTATGCAATATGCTGATAGCCATCCCCTGTTGTCTGCTTTCCAGAATGGCTCGAGTGAAAAGAGGGAGGTTCGACAGTTCCAGTTCACAGCATGGCCAGACCACGGCGTGCCAGAATACCCAACCCCTTTCCTAGCCTTCCTCCGTAGGGTGAAGACTTGCAACCCCCCTGATGCTGGACCCATCATTGCTCACTGCAGGTCAGTGATCTTTTTTCTGGTATTAGAATATGCTCTGCAATGCAAATGATCTCAACTTGAAAAGCGATTCCCAAATGAGTAAGTTGGACTTTAAGGAAAATTTTTAAACGGCCTTTGCACTTGCAGAATAATGTGTTTCTTTTGCCTTTTACTTGTTATTTAATTCATTTTTCCTTCTTTTATATAAACCCATCATACAGATTGGCAGATCTCCTCCCTATACATATTTAATAATAGGTTGCATAACAGACCTCATACAAGCTCGGGTCTATTTTTTTTATAGTCTCCTGATATTGTTTCCATCATTCTTTTTCCGTGCTGCCTCATTTTAGCTCTTCTTATTCTCCCCACCTGTTTTACTTCTCCTCTCCCTGTCAAATGTCTCACAGTAATCCTTGCCAGCCTTTTTCTACCTCTTCCTTTTCCCTCCTCAGTTCTTCCTCCTCATATGAGTTATATTTCTCTAATGGCTTATTCAAATTGAAACCTTCCTTTTTGTCAAGATAAGAAGGCTTCAGTGAGTCCAAAGCGCTGCACAATAAATTTGAAATGTGACAGCTTGCCATGCTGAGTCTCCATCACTTTTGTTGTATTATTTTTTCATTCTGTTTGTTTTCCCTCTCTTTTTCTTCTTTTATTTTATTTTTCTTCCCATAATTTAATTACTTTTAACTGCATCAGTTCATTGCATTTTGTGATGTTTGGCATCACATTTCAATAAGGCTATTAAACAATAGAATGAGCATAAATTAATTTCCCTTTGTCTTCTTTCTTCTCCCTTTCAGTGCTGGTGTTGGCCGGACAGGCTGCTTTATAGTAATTGACGCCATGCTCGAGCGTATCAAGCACGAGAAGACGGTCGACATCTACGGCCACGTGACGCTGATGCGCTCGCAGCGCAACTACATGGTGCAGACAGAGGACCAGTACAGCTTTATTCATGATGCGCTGCTAGAGGCAGTGGCCTGTGGAAACACTGAGGTGGCCGCTCGAAGCCTGTACTCTTACATCCAGAAGTTGGCCCAGGTGGAGAGCGGCGAGCATGTTACTGGCATGGAGCTGGAATTCAAGGTACTAAACGCTTTAATGAACATTTTAACAAACTCCTGTATGCATTGTAAGTGATTGGGCAGCTTGTTTGTAGTGTTGATTTTACTGTGATGAAAAAACTGACTAAAGAAATGTAGACAAGCTGTTTGGACTTTCCAAATTCATTTATTTATTCATTTATTTGTTGGACTTATTTATTAACTTATTTATTATATTTAATTTTCCTTTGAATTATTAAAGTCTTTTAGACAGGCATTGAATTGAGTTGAAATTAATATATTTTAATCATATTTGTAAAGCTTCAGAGGCTTAGCCAGAAATTTTTTTATGAGGCTGGCCAGGCAATAACCAATGCACACTGAGGGGTGGCCAAAAGTAGATAGGCACCAAAACCTCAAGGTCAATCTGCAATGTTTCAACAGGAAAATTAACAAGCAAAACAATCATATTTTCAGAATGAAGACAAACTATACTTTCCCACAGCCTTTGCTGACAAATTGGGAAATATATTCAAACATCCGTGCTTTCTAGATAAAAGGTATGGTGGATAAAATTCTTTCAGGTTTGAGTTTTGAGCATCATCTTTTCCATTGTCATTACTTACCTACTTTTATGAGTAATCATTCTGCATAAAATTGATATTTACAAGTAATAATATCGACAAAAATTGATTTTTTTTGTAAGTTTTTATTAAAATAGTTATTTATTTATGATTTCACTGAAAACTCCTAGATGACATGCAGAGACACATCATTATCTCTTTACCTCATATAAGACAGAATCTATTTCTGCTTTAATTCTGTACTTATCATCTTTAATGTCAGAATATCGATGTGCATCATTAACCATAGTGTTTTTGTTGTCAAGTAATTGTTAATATATGAAAAATTAAAATGTTTTGAATATTCCAGTATTACTGCTGCCACCGTCTGTGTTAGAGGGAAAACAATGGTAGGGTGGCCAATGGTTGGCTAAGGGTGACCATGGCCACCCCTGGCCCCCCATCTAGCTCTGCCCCTGTAAAGCTTGACTAGGAAATGTGGAAATCAAAGGAATGAGAGAAGGAAGAAATTACATATTGATATGCAACAGGGAAGGTATACTAAGCAACTAGATCCTCACTACTATAGAGTCAAACACAGGTGAAACGGTTATTCGTTTTTCAGACATATACAAGGCTGGCATTCTTTTCAGTTGCAGTTTTATGCATTGATATGCATCCTAGTGTTTTTATTATTAGTGAAAAGATACCTATACACTTTAGAGACAACCCCCTTATCCATCCACTGTCCTACCAGTGAAGAAGAGTCCCCACATTTTTTTTCTTTCTTTTTTAAGTGAGTATATCTTAACCATTATATCAGATAGGTGTACTTGTTTTAGATTAGCTGACAACAGTGTTTAGATGGACATTATATATTTTTAGCACAGACATATCCAGGCAATAACTCGTCTCCTTAAGTGGAGTCACATTGGTCTATTGGTGTCAGGAGATTCTATTCAGACTTCTAGAAATGTCGCAAACCAGCTCCTAAAATAGTCTGATCCAAGCTGACCTCAGAAAATTGTTTATGCATTTACACCTTTATTTTTAGTTTGTTATTTTATTAATCAAAAGTCCAGCATATCTAAACACATAAATGAATCTATTACTGTTAATAAATTTGTTGTTTAAAGTCTTAGTGACCTTAACACTTTTTAGATTAGCCATATTGTTAATATGTAAGATGTTTTAACAGTTTGTAAAAAGCCAAGCAAAACAAAAGAGCACATAATTATAACTCTTATGATTTACAGTCAAAAAATTATACTGGTGGGGCTTTTAAACCATCTTGATCCAAACTTCCGATGGAATCCTGATTGCTAATTGTTTGGTGTTAGGAGTCAAACTGAGCTGAATAATGTCCACCGAACAGCTGGTTAAGAGAAATTTGGTGGTTGTGAATGGTTAAAAAAAGTAAAGTCAATGGGCAATAAAGGTGGATAGCTGGGAATTTCTATGAATACATTTTTAGTTAATTGGCCAAGAGATTGTTTTTTTCAATTTAGACTCATCCTACAAATGTTGATGTATTACAAGGATTTGTAGGAAGGAATGTTAGCTCTCACACTTGATGCAGTTTGATTGTGAGTTTAGCTAAATCTGGAGGAGGAATTCGCTGTAGTTAAGCAGAGAGAAAATAAAATGGTGAGGCTGTCAGGAAATCTCTTTGCTGTATTGTGAATGAACATGCATAACATGTCTGAGCACGGAGCTTTTTCATGCACATAATCTGCTTGCTGAAAGTATTCAGCAAAGCACAGTTCAAACACATTACAACGCAGACAAAAAAAGAGCTACTTGGTTGCTGGGATGCATTTCTACAATAAACAGAAAATAGGTTATTTTCAATTCAACAGCAGTTTTAATTCTGATATGGATAGAAACAATTAAAACAAGGTTCTCTTTTATTTTAAACAGTGATGACGCTGGTCAGTTTTAGTGAGAGGACATGAAAGTCCAAGAAACTAAAAGCAGTCCACGGTGTAGTGGAAATGAATAATTCATGATTCAAGATTTAAAGACATATCCATAACTGAAATATAACGAAGTCTATTTCTTTCAGATTCTTTCTCTCACAGGATCCTCATATATATATTTTATAGGATGTTTGTTTTCAAAGTTAAAATCAGAACCCATTCTGTAATATATGCATATGTCTTTTCAGATGATTCAGAAAGAGATTCTGAAAGTTGCGGTAGGGTTTTGTGCTCAGGGTGGTTATTTTTATGCAACAGTCTTCACACTGTTCTCTGCACAGCTCCAGCACTTCAGACTCTTTTAAATCTTTTTCTTTAGCTGTCAGGAAGGGCTTTAATTTCCCTCTCTGGAAGTATGACTAGTTCTCTTGTGGAAAGTTTTCCAAGTTAGGAAGACCTCTTCTTAACCTCAATTATACATGTAAATGACTTTTTTTCTGATTGCAGTTCAACCTCAGGAAATGAACTGTAATATTATAGGTGATATGAGGAATTATCATCAGTAATTTTGAGCATGCTTTGCTACTTTTAATGTGAGCCCCTAGTAGTAATGTTTATACCAGTTGTTACATTTATAAATATCTTGAATTAGCTCATTTTTATAGTAATCCTAATAAGGGGTATTATAAACAACTTTTATCTTATTGGGGTTTTATTAAAACATGACAGGTGTTATATTTCTTAAAATGTTAAGTTGTACTTTTTTATATTTTGTGGAGAAGTTGACTCTTAATGATAAAATGCACCAAGCTGGCATCAAGTAATGCATAAAACTTTTATTTTAGTTTCGTTTATTGATCATCAAACAACTTATATGTACAGCTGCCATTGTAAATAGGTATTAAATGCTTTAAAGTAATTGTTCTAACATCTCTAATGCATGAAGAAAAGCATCTAGGGTATGTTCCTCGTTTGTTGGTTTCATGCAGCCTGGTTCATACAGCGGGTGAACATTTTTGACCGATATAGAAAATAACTACATTTCAGTCTACATCCTATAGTAACATGTTTTAGTGTGCTTAGGTATGGGGCATTCATTGTTGGAACAATCAGATTTTTGATATTTAGATACTTTCTTCATTACACCATGGGCCTTATCTTCAAAAGGTTAGCACATCGTAAACAAAGCAGATCTTGGAGTGTGCAATCAGTAATAATAATGAACAAACTGCCTAAATTCATGAGTGGAACTATGCAAATGGGTGTCCTCCTGAAACTCTGCATCTGTTACTCATGGCAAGAGGGTTTTATTACAACCTCAATTTTCAACAGGTTCTGCTCTAAGATTATTTAACTTGTTGTTTTTGCAGCATATCGCGTCAGGCTGTTGTTGAGTGGAGTTGGTAGAGATTAATTCAGCTGTTTAGAGCATAATCTGCTCTAGATCTTACTGCAGCTTCTGCTTTTGGAAGAATGATGGAATGTTCAATGGTCAGTCAGCAGACAAAGATAACCTTCTCATACATCTTAAACCATGAGAAAGAAATATATATATATATATATATATTTTTTTTTTGTTTGTTTGTTTGTTTGTTTAAAGCACATCGAGGTAGATTACGTATGCGAAGTGCACTATAGATAACATTAAGTATTGTCATTATATGAATTATCCATACATTATCCTCCCTATTTCCCACATTGGCTTATCAGAGTCACTCTGGGGCCGTTGCCTACCTCAGGCAGTCTATTGGCTAGAGGCGAGGTGCACCTTGGACAGATCGCCAGTCTGTTGCATGGCAAATTATATTTAAGTTATAATTTTTATTATTACCTCCAACTTCATGGCTTCTTTTACAATATCTCTCAAACTGCCAGTATTAAACCAATCCACTTCTTTTATTGGGGTGAAACCTGTTAGCATATTTTAATATTTGTGCCGTAATGTTTCCAGATCAACCGCAACACACCCTTATTGCACATTAAATTTAGCACCCTCTATTTGGTATCTTTAAAGATAGGGCACAATGTATTAATTTAAAACCGGCTCTATGCTGACTGACAGTGTTGTATAACGTTAGCCTAACAAGCAAGCAGACATAAATCATACAGTCTTTGTTGAAATATAAAAACCCATAGGGGAGATCATAAAAAATTGCTGACCTCAAAATTTCCTGGGGTCCTTCTGATGATGAAGCAGGACCACTTTTTGTTTTTATCACTTTATTGTGTATGTGTGTTTCTCTGCTGAACAACTCCATCTTTTATGCACACACACTTGGCTGTTATCAAAGACACTAGTGACCTACTTTCCGAGGAGTTTTCTGTTTCATACACACTCGATTCAGAGGCTTGTTAGTCAGGCTGTGTGGTGTGTTTTCACTTTTTATGTCTGACCCAACAGGACCTCCTGTGTTGCAAATAGGGACAAAGTTTCTGGCTTTTTTTTTCCTGTCAGTTTTTTATGAATAACATCCCTTTGAAGTTTGGTCATTGTCACTAAAACACGGGTAAAAGACTAAATTAAGATTGGCCCTGCTTTTTCACTTTCTTTGATATTTTAGACTTTTTATCCTTCTTGCACCTGTTTTTCTCCTATTCTCTCTTAAATTGTACCTTTCCAAATTTCTCCTCTTCTCTGTCTAACTGTCTTTATTTTTAATTAGCACTAATGTGGCCTCTTTCATTTTCATGATTATTTTGAATTGATTTTCACTCTGCTGTCAGAATTTCATTTCACTGTATTAAAATATCCCTGCATCCTTCTGTAACAGCGTTTGGCCAATTCAAAGGCCCATACATCACGCTTCATCAGTGCCAACCTTCCCTGCAACAAGTTCAAGAACCGGCTGGTAAACATTATGCCCTATGAGACCACCCGTGTCTGCCTGCAGCCAATCAGAGGTCTGGAAGGCTCTGACTACATCAATGCTAGCTTCATTGATGGCTACAGGTAAGACAGTTGAAGCAAAGCTACAATGTCAGATTAAGGCAAGGTAAATGTAAGCAGTTTATACATGGTTTGATCTCAAACAGGCAACAGAGGGCATACATCGCCACGCAGGGCCCACTAGCAGAGACTACGGAAGACTTCTGGAGAATGCTCTGGGAGAACAACTCCACTATAGTAGTAATGTTGACCAAACTTAGAGAGATGGGCCGGGTAAGACTTTAGAATACATTAAACAACTTTGTGGAAAGATTTGTGAATCACCTGATTATAATCCTTTTGCATCTACAGGAAAAGTGTCACCAATACTGGCCAGCTGAGCGCTCTGCAAGGTATCAGTACTTTGTGGTAGATCCTATGGCTGAGTACAACATGCCTCAGTACATCCTCCGGGAGTTCAAGGTCACTGATGCCAGGGTAAGAAATGCACATCCAAAAGATGTTTTTGAAAAGATGTTGTGATTGAAATGGTCACACTATATAAAAGAAGAAAGTAGACATCATAGCCAGGCTTTGGAAAAGATTTTGTTTCTGTGTTTTTATAGATTTCTGAATTCAACCTAACTATAAAATCATTTGAAAAATTGCTAGATGTCTTTGATGTTTTATTAACACCTAACCAATTGATTTTATATATCCTAGGCTTGTCTAAAAGGATGTCAATGTCACTAAAAACTTATGTTCTCTGTCTTGATGTTATAAGCTGTTATAGGATGTGTATTACATGCATGCAGTTGCTTTAGTAGAAAATCTTAATAGATTGTCTTGAAGACCAGCCAGTGTTTCTCTATCTAAGGGCTTTCTTGCAGCAGGTTGAATTATCATGCTGCACAACTGTAGCCAGGAGACAGTTTAAGCTTATCACCGAAACAATGGAAACAAAGCAAAGAGATGGAGAAGGTGATAGTGGCGTAAACAGAGTTGAGTATGTAAGGGTGTGTTTGTAATGATAGCCGCATTTTACTTTGCACACACACATGTTCAGATGTTTATAGTTGCATCTAATCGCGCATTCCTTAGATCAGATGTATGATTGGGTTTTTGCACGCAAATGTGCCTCTGCCCGTTGTCACATGCCTCTGCACAGCAATGGCATAGACTTCATGCTATAATGACATAGACTCCTCGCCTCAGCACTTGCATCTAGAGAGCCAGTCACGTATTTAATCACAGAATTTGACACACCATGCGGGCCCTCAGGTTGTGTGTTAAATTTCTCTTTTTTTTATGTTTTTTTTCTGCCTCTGTATTCTCTTCAGCATGGTTATTGTTTACTTGTCTTTGCACCTCTTTCATTTTTAATCCTCCTGCTTAGGCTAAATGTTTTGGGTTTTTTTAAGATTAAAGAAACAACAGCACCAAAGGACAGAAAGCATGTGATGCATCATAAAACAGGAAAGGAAGCAAAGGGAGTCAGAACGTGGAGCTTAACTCATTATGATCACCATATTTTGAAAGTGCAGCAAGGAAAGGGATTGCGTGATGGTGGCATTGGTGCAGAAATAAACAAGAGAACAAGAATGCATTTTCAACTCACCCATTATGGATATGCTTTGACATACAGTAGCTTCACATGGTACAGTCACCATCTGTAGTACAGGACAACTACTGGCTCCAGCAAGATGGAAATAAGACCAAATACTTGACAGTATTGTTACATTTTTCATTTTTATGTCATCAAGGGTTTTTGTTTTCTTTCTTGAATGTTTCTTTTTTTTGGTGAGGACTTCAAATGGTAACTGTTGTATCTAAAATGTTTTGCAATCAAAGTGTTATCAGTTTCCCATTAAAACTACCAAGATTTTTTAATGGCATAGTCAAGAAAAAGGCTCACAAAAGGTCAATTCAGAAGCCTTATTTTCTTTCCATGGGTAATATCTTCAAAATATTTACCTTTCAAATCATTTGATTCATTTACATGGATGACTGTGATTTTAAACAAAACCTACTGTGTTTAAGCACTATGTTGCCAAACGTTATAACATGTTTTAATGATTGTGTTTCTGAGCAACATTCTTTGACTGAATAGGATTTATTTTCTTATTTCGCTCTTTGAGCAAACACTAGAATACTCTTCTAAATTGTCGCTTGCCAAAACAAGTATAAAACATCCTCAAGGTCAGTATGAAGCAACACACGGTTTATATGAAACTCTCAAAGCAGGGCTTCTTTTATTACCTTTAAAGAAGCAGAGGAAAAACAAAAAAAAAAAATAACAGCAAAGTCCAAATTGTGAAGGGGAAATATTTCCCAGAAATATCTGATGTAAAAGTGATGAAAAGTTTCTTTTGATATCTCTTAACTGTTGCACTGTTGGGAAATTTTTCATCTGTGTTTAACTCAGGTGCTTAGGGATGGGGTGGGCTGCACACAAAGACACTGTAAATTTCCACCCAACCCAATTTTAATGATATACCCATAAACTCTTTTCGACCTTAAGATGGCATTTCAGTTAATTCTTCAGTATTGCATTCATAGATTTTATTATAAAGTCTAGAGTGTAGCTTAATTTATATATAGTTTTTAATTTTTTATTTTGATTAAATCTTTTTCTGTTTTATTTTGATTCTTATGCAATTTTGGATAATCGACTATTGAAATTTGGCAAGTTACGTCCTAAACCAGGAGTAACCAATTAAAAATCAGCCGGGTCCGAATAAAGAAAATCATCAACCAGTGAAGGTCTGAAGACATTTTCAATTATAATCTGTTACTTTAAACAGAATTTAAAACAAAAAAAAAAAAAATGAGATTTTTATGCATCCATGTTATACATTGAATTTTTAAATAAAAAAATCACAAAAAAAAAAAAAACATTTTTCCATTTTAAAATCTAAAGTGTTTTTGAAGTAGAGAACAACAATGATTCAGTTTGGTATATAGACAATTTTCTGATTCACATATTTTATATAACACCCAAACTGACCGCTTGTTTTTTTTGTTTTTCTTTTTCTTCTTTCTTTTTATGGCTTAATGAGAGAAGTGGGCTTTATGATGCCCTGCAAGGCTTTAAACCTGGGTTTGAATGGTGACAAAGCCATTCTGAGGCACATATCAAGGTGCTCATTTTGAGCCTGGATCGATATTTATCTTTCATTATGGTCATGGTCAGGAATCCTGCTTCACAGCAGTATGTTTAGCCAAATATACTCAAAATATGCAGGGTAAACTTTGAGCACACCATTTCACTTTTCTTTCACCAGTTCACCGCAGTTCCTCCAGCAGTCCACACTTTCTCTGCTCTCTTTTTCTCTTGGTCGTCCCCTTCTTTCCCATCGCCCGGCTTGCCTGCAGTGTCTAAAAGTGTCTAGCAGCAGCAGCCCTAACTGACAGCTCATTGGCAAATTTTTATCATGTGTAGCTTGGTCCAGACGCTCCATATTAACAGGAGAAGCGGCGGACAGCATGTTTTAAATCAGGTTGGATCCGGAATAGCCAGCAGGTGGGTCCGGATCCGGACCGTGATCCGCTAATCCGTGACCTCTGTCCTAGACCAATCCACCAACATAACTATGAGTTCCCTCTTATGAGTATGTTATTATGAGAAGCAGACCAGCTATACAATTAATTGCATTTACAATATATCTAAATAATTTCCAGTAATCACAATATTTGTTTCTTTTGGTCAGTACAGAGGAAAATCCAAATAAAATCATTATCTTGGTGGAAAAAACAAATCATTTGGGGCAAAATTACACAGTCCCAGGAGGCAGATGGTTATACATCCTTTAAGTAGGATACAAATTGAACAAAGAGTTATGTATATTCATATTACTGGCTTATTGCAGTGGGCAGTTAACTTCACTCTTTTGGGTATGACTTTAGTACCTAATTTATTTCATACTTTTTTATCTGTCTTAAACTGTTGTCCTACAACAGTTGTGTTATACTTGGTTATCAATTTTCATGTTGCACTGAATTAAAAATATTTCAGAAAAACTGACTTTATTTT